TCCCTATAAATTGTAAGCCGCCCTGAGTCCCCTCAGGGAAAAGGGCGGCCTATAAATAATAAACTCAAACTCAAAAAACTCAAACTCAGATGTCATCTTAGTATTTACATACTAAAACCATTAGTATGGTTTTACAAGGATATTGTTTAGAAATATGCTAACTCAGATTTTTCAAATGGCTCTTAGAATATTAATGTTAGTGATTAACTATGTAACAGTTAATGTCATAAAGTCTATTTCATAAAGTCTGAATAAGTGTTACTTTAGTTAACAGACTCGGTCTCATTATTCACCTGTTTCCTTCTGAATTAGAATAAAGGTTCCAAAAATGTAGGACAATTTCACTTTAATCATCAAATTTTTGTGCTTTGATTGTATTCAGATTAATTAGTTAATTTGCTCTTTTACTTCACTGTCTGGAAGGCTGTAAAGCTCTTTCATTTCAGCAAGCCTTATGGTATTTCTTAAGCTGGATGCTCTTCCAGCAGGTACAATTATATCTTCTGTTTTTCAATGTATTCAAGAAAGAAGATGCCATTTTTAAAAATGTTTGTATCATACTACAGCAATCTAAAAATAAAACTAATAGTCTAAGAAAACAGGTTATGTCAGAAATAATATAGTTAACCCTTATCCCATTAGAGAAGGTAATTTAAAAGTAATTTATTAATGTGTTAATTACCCTCATTCATACACCAAAATAGTTTACCTCCAGAAACCTGCCTTCCACTTACTGTTTTTTCTTCAATATTCCAAAACACAACAGACCCTTCCCTATAAGAAAAAAAAATCACAAATTAATGTTAGACTAATGTTAGACTAATATTTTAAGTTTCAAACAAGCAATTCCTAGAAATAAGCAATTCTCTTTCCATTCTTGCTTGCCTTTAAAAGTTGAAACAATAAACTATTATTACAGTATCCGAATGATATTTGTTTTAGGGATCTTTAGAACAGGGGGAGGTGCAAAGAATTTTAGTGATACCAAGAGTTTTAAAGTTTTAAAGATTAATATTCAACTGAAATATTTCTTGCTGGGACAAATAGACAACTGGAAAAGAGTTATGGAAGATTATTTTTGTATGTGATAATCTGCAAGATCATATATGCCCAAAGTCAAAAGACCCTGAATTACCTACAATGAAGGAATGTTGGTGAAGATGACAGAATTTGCAGAGGGCAAAATTGATTTGTTTGGTTAGGGATAATCATATTTGTTAGTGACTGGAAACCCCTTATGGACTTTTTGCTGAAAATAGAAAAAAATGAAATTATGATTAATGGGTTTGATGATTAGAAAGAATAGAATATGGGAAGAAGGAAGCCACAATATAAGCATATTGAGAGAGCATAAAATATAAATGCATTTAACTGCTGTAAACAAGATCAGAAGCTACTTCTTTATGTACATATTTTTCCTGTCTTACTTAGCTATCATTTTTCTTTGCTGTTCTTTTTCTTAGTTCTTAGTTAATTCTGCCTAGCATCGTGATGTGGCACACAGAGCCCTCTCTATGGGCATGTATGCCAGCCAGCTAGTCTTTGAGCGCACCAGAGCACCGGAAACCTGAAGACCAGCTGGCCAGTGTGAATGCATGTGCCGGAAACCTGAAGACCAGCGGGCACGCAAGTGTGCATGCACGCGCATGTTCTGTTTTGGGCACTTGGTGCTGAAAAGGTTCGCCGTCACTGGCCTAGCAGAAGTGAAAGTTCTGAGGATGACACAAATGAAACAGCAACCTTTTGTTCTGGCTATGGACACCTGTTTCATTTTTGTTTTAGTTTCTGCACAACAAGTAATTTTCAATTTATGACAACTGAAACTAAAATTTCCATTGCCAAGGAAGTCGGTTAAGCGGGTTTGGCCCCATTTTACAATTGTTTTTGCCACAATTGTTAAGTGAATCACTGTAGTTAAGTGAACAATGCAGACATTAAGCAAATCTGGCTTCCAGTCAGTTGCCAAGTGCCCGAATTTGATCGTGTGACCATGGAAATGCTGCAGCAATCATAAGTGTGAAAACTGGCAAGAAGTTACTTCTTTTAGTGCCATTGTAACTTCAAATAACCATTAAATGAAATGGTTGTGAGGACCACTTGTAGTTATTGGTAGCCTTCTTGACTCAATTCCAAGTATTGGAAGAGCCACTAAGTTAGAATGCAGTACTGCAGACTAACTCACTGTTCACTCGAGGAGTTCAATTCTGAACAGCTCACGGTTGACTCAGTCTCCATCCTTCCAAGGTCAGTAAAATGAGGACCGAGGTGGTTGGGGGAAATATGCTGACTCTGTAAACCGCTTAGAGAGGGCTGTAAAAGCACTATGAAATGGTACATAAGTTTAAGTGCTATTGCTATTGCTCATTACCCTTAAAGCCCTAAAGAACAGGGCATCAAGATTTATCAGGGACCAACTTACCAAATAAGATTCTGCCTGTTTGATCCAAATACTAAAAATGGGTTTGTTGGAAGCCCTACTTCCATCTGAAGTAGGAGAGGTATGGGTTAGAAGGCAGGTATTCTCAATAAAAGCCACCATAGAAGCTTTTCAAATCTATTTAGCACCAAATCTCCTTATGTTCTGGAAAGCTCTGAAAACGCTTTCCATTTAATAATGTTTGATTCATAGAGTAAAACTATGGCCAATCATTTGATTATAGTTTGTTGCTTACAATATTTCTCTTTCTTGGTCTTTTCTCCTTCTTGTAAAGCCCTAAGGTTGCTTGATTGGGGAGTTCTACAAATATTGTAAGTAATCATCACTAAAATTCTGAATGATACGGAAGAAATAAATATGTAATTTTCCTTTAGGTGGAAATGAAAAATTTAGCTCACATATGCCACATTATTGGTCTTTACTTACTTGAAGAAAAATATGATCCCCAAATCATGATCTTTGGCTGTCTTTTCTGTGCCAACCACCAAAACATTTGCTGCATCTAGTTTTCAAAAAATCTTATGTGAAATTATATTATAAAAAATAGAAACAATTACATTTAGCGTGGACCCTATATGTTATTACCCAAGATAATTTATATTAAGTATGTCTCTTTCAAATCTAACTGATCTCCTGGTTACTTCATCAATAAGTCTATGGTTCTTCTTCTTTTATTTTGTAAAAACAGCATTCTTCCAGGATATTTTATTTTCCCATCTATCTTATGGCCCTCATATTCCCTGGGGGATCCCACAGAAATATTAAGATGGGACAATCCACTTTGCTTTCTGAATCAAGACAAGATTAGCTAAAAGCTGCTAACTGGTAAGGTTCTGTAGGGTTTACAACTTATAAATATGAATAAAATCGTGCTGTGTGTCACATACAGTGCAAGCATATATCTATCAGAGTACTCTGACAATTCCAGTAGTTTCTCAGCAACAGACTATCAAAACAGAAATGAAGAAAGAGACATTTGCAATTCCCTTATTCTAAATTAAGCTACAAACTTAACATCAGCCTGTGTGGTTAGAATGCAACATTGCAGGCTATCTGCCCACAGCCAGGACTTTGATCCAGACCAGCTCAAGATTGATTCAGCTTTCCATCCTTCTGAGGTTGGTAAAATGAGGACCCAGATTGCTGGAGGCAAAATGCTGACTCTGTAAACTGCTTAGAGAGTGCTATAGAGCACTATGGAGTGGTATATAATTTCTACTGCTATTGCTACAACATGATCATTTATAATAAAACTGAATTAATTTATAGTGATCTTCCAGCATTAATATAATACCACAAAGCTAATTAATGACTTATTACTCAAATTATCACTTCTCACATTTTTAAAATCAAACTTTAATTTTTACTAATGCTGGCAGAAATAGTTTATCTCCAATTCTTTATAGCCCTATTATTTACCAATCAGCTCTATTCACTCTTCCCATGTCTAAAATTTGAATGAGCCAGATTTCATAAATTTGGCGACTCAAGATTCTCTTCAGGTATTACATAGTAATACAGACTATCACCTGGAATGAAATGTTTAAGGTAATAGAGTGGTTTCTTTGCAGTAAAAATCATTAGGAATTGTCAAATTGCACAGTTAAAGATTTTCATGTATTACTAATATTACTTATATGCAGTAAGTCATTATTTCATTTCATTATTTCACAGTGTTGTGTCATCCTGTATTACCTCCTTTCCTAGCTTATTCATTAACCCAAAGGTATTAATGCATGTATGACATTTAATAGAATTACTTTACAATATGTGACTGCCACATTATATCCTTAAAACAGTTTTCATTTAAACTCGGTGCACTTTTTAGTTCCTTAAGAACCCTGATTTGGGAAGGAAAATTGACCTGAAAGCAGACCATACATAAACACTTTTGCAGATGTACTTCTACACCAATTATCATAATTTTTGCACTGTAAGACACACTTTCCCCCACCCCCCAAAGTGGGTGGAAATGTTTGTGCATTTTATAGAGTGAATATTGCTGGGGCGGGGGGAGGGTAGTTGGGGCGTCGGCATCGTTCACCACAGACGTCTGTCACCGCTGCTGCTGCTCGCTACCACCGGGGAATGTTGGAGCCTTCAGTGCCGATCAGCTGGTCAGTGGATGGATTGGCCTCCTGGCTCCAGCTGTTCTAAATGGTGGAGATTGCTGCCGCTGCATAGAACAGCTGTTCGGTGGTATTCCGGGAGGCCGATCCAACCAGCAATCAGCTGCTTGGCGGCGAAGGCTCCAGTGATCCCCAGCGGCGGCAGCATTGTAGCTCAGTTGACGGGTGGTGGGCGCAACGGAGCAGAGCCCTGACGAGCCACGTGCTGGGGCTGTTATAACGTGCTGAAGCTGATCAGGCTGTTTGTTGTTTGCTGCAAGGATGCTAGCCAGATGAATACAGGATGTATGCTGGGAGGCAGAGGCAGATCCCCCCCTCCCAAAGCTAATGTGCGTCTTATGATCTGGTGTGTCTTATAGTACAAAAAAAATATGCTATTCATTTCTTTGAAGTAAATGTTAGCATCTAGGCCACATTACAGCACATACTTAAGTATCAAACAACATTTCTATAAAGAAAGCATTTGTACAAAACCTGTTTGATGATATGTATATATCTGAAAAAGCATCAGTAAACAATATATGATCTACTTGAAATAACTGTTCAGAGTTGTACCTCTAGGTAATGTGATTTCAACATATCCAGATGAGATCAGGTCAAGGCATAGATTACCAAGATGATAGGCATCTGCTGTTGCAAAGGCTATACATTGCATCACATCCTATGCCAAAAAGAACAGAATTTCCTTTAGAAAACACTTAGTTGCCTAACTCACTAGAACTGATATACTAAAGAGCGTTACACAAACTCATTGTTAGCATTTGGCCACTAGATGGCTAAAATTCTGCACAGAACCATAGTTGTTTTTTTCCAAAGGTTTTTACACTTAAAAAGTTTTAAATTTGCTTCACTGATATACGGATAGACAAATACCTCCTCTGGATCTACTAAGCAACTTCAATTATGTTCTTTGGAAGATTATGATTTAGAGAAAGATACAAGTTCATATATTCATTACAAGCTTCATACTACATTATCAATTCTATGCAAATATAGTTTGGATAACTGCTTTGAGTTTAGCTTCAACATCTGCCGTTCATGTTTTGTTAAAGAGTAATAAGATGTGATCCTGTATGGCCGCTTATTGCCTAAACCTAGGGTCCCCAACTACAGTCCACAGCTCAGACCTGGTTTGAAACTGTTGGGAAACCATGCTGTGCAAGCAGTTTGTGTGTGTGTGTGTGTGTGTGTGTGTGTGTGTGTGCGCGCGCGAGCAGTTCCATACTGCTGCTG